TGGTAAGGGGCTGAGTTTATATGAGAACCCAGAACGTTTAACCTCCAGAATATGTTATTACTACCTCCCTATTGTTAAAAACAATTAATTTGAAAGATTTTCCTTTTACTGGTTATAATAGAATATATTTATTTATTCCTATAAAGTGATAATTTGTATGGTACAGATAAAATTTGATTCAATTAATCATGTTTTGACAGCAGAGTGCTCAGTAGTGATCTCAGGAATAGAAGGAGAAATGAGACATAGTTCCTATCCTTAAAAGAAACTGAAAACTAATATCCTGTTGGCTATTTTCCAAGTGACCTCAGTGGTACTGATGGGCGCAAAAAGAAGAGAAAGAGTCATGTTGGCTAACTTTTAGATGCAGGAAGCTGGAAGACTCCCTTTCATAAAGTTTTCCATGGAATCTGCATGACTACTATGCTTTTAGCCACTGGGTAGTAGTATTCTAATGAGTAGCAGTTACAAAATTAAGATGTATTGATTGGCAATCAGAAATGATTCTCATAGGGTTAAAAAAAACAAACCCACTGCCATCGAGTTGATTCTGACTCATAGCAATCCCCTTTGGGTTTCTGAGGTGGTAAATCTTTACGGAAGTAGATTGTCCAGTCTTTTCTTCAGAGTGGCTGGTGTGTTTGAACTACCAACCTTCTGGTTAGCAGTCAAATGCCTTAGGCACTATGCCACCAGAGCACCTTCTCATAGGGTTAAGACAGTTTTATTATTGTTATAACATAGAAAGTGAAATCTAGAACCTTATAAGTGATTACTCATTCTTTGACATAAACAATTATATTTGCATGTTTACTTTTTTCATAGGCTGGGATATTTCAAGAATTTATGGTTCATGAAGAGTCTGTTACATTTCGAATTAATTTAACAGTCCTTTTAGACTGTTTATCTATTTTTGGATCCAGTCCTATGCCAGGTGAACCATTTTATTATTATAATATGACATACAAACCTTATACAGAAAGGTTAGGAAAATACAAAACAATTATGTAGAATATAAACGTCTCTTTAGAAAATTAATCACCTATTCATTTTTCTTTGTTCACAATCATGGATTCTGACTTTTCACAGAGCTAACAGAAAGTATGTTTGTGGTTCTTTTCATATTTGTCATAGTATTACATTCATCTTTATTTCTTTACAAGGGTTCAGGGATTTTAAACTGACCAAAATAAAACCTTGAATATGTCTTAAATATCTTTAACTTTGTGAAATATGTTTTAATTGCTCTTTTCCCAAATTTTTACAGAAATACATAGCTACTTAGTGGCAGAGAAAAACTATATATATATATATATATATATATATATATGTATATATAAAACATATATGTAAGTGTGCATGTATCTATACCCACGGAGCAGCACAGTTCTACTCTGACACACAGGGGGTCACTAACCATAAGCCGGCATGGCTGACCGACAGTTGGTTTCTTGTTGCTGTTTTAGTCAAGACAAGACATACT